AAGCTCCATGATTTGCTTTTCTTTTTTTTTTCCAATATGAATAGGAGAAGTGCTTACGTAATGCCTTAAAATCCTATAATTTTCATTTTTTATCAAATGGTGAGAAATTGTAAAAAATCTACTCACAAAAAAATTTAAAATTTGAAATAACAGTTTGAGTTGAAAAAAGTAAAGAAGAGTGCAAAAGTATTCTTAAATCAGTTTTAAAAAAATTATGAAATATATTAAAACCTAAATTTTGTTTTACGCAAAGTTACATCTTTTATTCGAGTTTAATTCTGAAATTCGTAAAATTAGATTACTGTAGTTTTTTTTTATTTTTTTTAAAGTCTAAGCAGTTAAAAGGGGGGGGGGAGTTGTGATTTTAATACGTAAACATGGTATGGGTTATTTATTCGTTTATTTTCCTTGACAAGTGGGAAGAAGAGTATAAAATTATTAAAAAGCATGAATACGTAGTATTTGAATGGGCACTTAATACTATCGGTAATATTAATTAACAGAGTATGGGTACAGATACTCCTGAGCTCTCTATATTTTGAGCCACCGCGACCCTATTAATATAATTAATACAATAATTAACCAAATTTTTCTGATAATTGAATCAGAAATGTTGCCAATATGTTTTTGACAAGCTTTTAGTAGTATTTGGGTATATCTGACATTAAGGTCTTATATAATTTTTTCTCTCATTAAAATCTTGTTATTATTTTTTGTTTGGATGCACTTGTAAATTAATTGAATCTTTAATTAATTATTTTATTAATTGTTTCTTCATTATTATGAAAAGGTACAAACTACAAAAAATATTTTAAATGTTCGTTATATTTTTAAATAGAACAAAAGATAAGGGAATTTTCGGTAAAAACTGAAAATGTGTTACATTACTATCAAATGTTATAATAAAATAACATATTTGAAAAGGGTTATTAGATTACGGTGTTTTCGCAATAGTACGACAGCAAGTGATCAGTAAAATATTCAATCCTCAAATTCTTTGGCAGAATTCTAAAAAATTGGCGATACTCAATGTTATAAAAATGAAAAAAGATCTGGATTCAAATTAAATTCCCAAATATCATACGATGGCAGATGAAAAGCCCTTTGCCAAAGTTACATTAATATAAATAATGTTAGTTACTTAATCGAAAATTATTATGATTAAATAATTAATATTTTTATTTGCAATAAATGTTTACGTAATAATTTAAACAGTAACTTATACAGTACTCTATAACAAGAAGAAGAAAAAAGAAAAATTCATATGTGTCTCTCTTATAACTTCAGAATCGCTTGTGTTATTGTCTTGAAATTTGAAAAGTGAGTAAAAAGGGAAATTTTAGCCTTTGTTCCTGAAATTTTTTAAAATTTCTTAATTAGATTGTTTGGAGGGCACACGCTAAAAATTAAATTTTCAAAATAATTTTACATTAGCCATTGAACTATAGACGGCTCTATTTTTTTCTCCAAATATATTGATGTTTTCTAGCTTGTAGCTCTCATTATTTTTTTAAAAAAGGAGTTTTCAAAAATTAATTATTTATTACTCTTTATGTCAATCAAACTAAATTATAATTGTGAACATGAATGCATGTATGGACTACGGCACCTGATTAATATTTCTAAAGTTATATGAAACTAATATATGTTAAATTTGTTTATAGTTACTATTTTACTACTACAGATTACCATGAAATTAAATAATTTAAAATCATCAGCCATCAAAATAAAAATATGCTCCGAAAAGCAAAATTAGTGGAGAAAGGGTACTAATTAGTTCAGTGGAAAAGTAAAAAAATCGCCATACTAGTTTTGACGCCAATGATACTTAACTAAATTTGGTAATTGGTACTAATTGAAACAAAAAATGAACTATGCACTAAAAACAAAATTAATAAAGAAATTGTACTTATTCACTTAGAAAAGTAAAAATTCGCCACACTGTTTTTACGTCAATTAATGCTCAATTAATTTTCGTAATAATCATAGTGCTCCATAGTCCNTAAATTCAGAATCGCTTGTGTTATTCTCTTGAAATTTGAAAAGTGAGTAAAAAGGGAAATTTTAGCCTTTGTTCCTGAAATTTTTTAAAATTTCTTAATTAGATTGTTTGGAGGGCACACGCTAAAAATTAAATTTTCAAAATAATTTTACATTAGCCATTGAACTATAGACGGCTCTATTTTTTTATCCATATATATTGATATTTTCTAGCTTGTAGCTCTCATTATTTTTTTAAAAAAGGAGTTTTCAAAAATTAATCATTTATTACTCTTTATGTCAATCAAATTAAATTATAATTGTGAACATGAATGCATATACGGACTACGGCACCTGATTAATATTTCTAAAGTTATATGAAACTAGTATATGTAAAATTTGTTTATAGTTACTATTTTACTACTACAGATTACCATGAAATTAAATAATTTAAAATCATCAGCCATCAAAATAAAAATATGCTCCGAAAAGCAAAATTAGTGGAGAAAGGGTACTAATTAGTTCAGTGGAAAAGTAAAAAAATCGCCATACTAGTTTTGACGCCAATGATACTTAACTAAATTTGGTAATTGGTACTAATTGAAACAAAAAATGAACTATGCACTAAAAACAAAATTAATAAAGAAATTGTACTTATTCACTTAGAAAAGTAAAAATTCGCCACACTGTTTTTACGTCAATTAATGCTCAATTAATTTTCGTAATAATCATAGTGCTCCATAGTCCCATAGTTTCCACAGTGTGATTGAAATAAAAAAAAAAGAAGGATAATTATTAAAAACCAAATTGATAGAGAAATGATGCTAATTCGTTTATTCGAAACGTAAAAACTCGCAATTGCTATCGACGCTAATGATGCTTAATTAGTTTTGGTTATAGGTATTACCTGAAGTAAAAAAATAATAATAATCTATGTACTAAGAAACAAAATTATGAAATAAATGATATTAATTCATTTAGAAGAAGAAGAAAAAAAATTGTCATATCATTTTTGACGCCAATGATGCTCAATTGATTTTGATAATAAGTACTAAGTAATACAAAATTAAGTTATGTATTAAAAAACCATATTGAAGGAGAAAGGGTACTAATTCGTGCACTAGAAATGTAAGCAACTGCCTTACTATTATTGACGCCAATGATGCCAATTTTATTTTATTAAATTTTTTTTTTTGGTAATATGCACTACTGGTTTCATGGTCATTTCGATATTTTATACTGTAGCTTAATACGAAATTTTTTACAGTGCACTAAAAACGGGTTTGGCATAATTTAATAACGTAAACGCACCAGATAGAACAAATAGTTAAATCTTTCACTTTTGCACATGATTTCAACGTGCTTAATTTTGTACAAGCTCCTTGATCATTTAATTTTTTTGAACCTCAAACAAAAAACGGGTATTCAGCTAGTAAATTAATAAAAAGAACGATACACATTCTACATGTCTTTACCATACATCTTTTATCGCAGAAGAATGTTATATTATATGCGAAAAAAAAATTACGGTACAGTACGGTAATGATATTTTTTGTAAAAAAAAACATTAATTTTGGTATTGAAAACCAAAATATTCGGTATTTGAACAATTCATTTGGTAATTTTTCCGTTTATATGGTAATGGTTAACTGGAAAGTACAGTTCTTATTACCACACATATAGTAATAAATACAAAACTGAAACGAAAATGTAAGCGAATAAATGGTTTTTATTCCATGTTTTAACGTATCATGATAAAATTATTAAATTTTACCACATTTGCCAAATTTTATGACACATTATAAAACCATTCTTTTTTTAATTTACTAAAAGTATCAGCAAAATGTACCGCATTCTGGTTATCTTGAGTGCACTGACTTTATTTATAAAAATTGCATTTACATGAGCTGTTTGTTCTTCTACAAATAAATACGAAACATAGAATATAGCTTATAAGAATTTCCGGAACATCTTATAAGCAAATTTTTTTTGCCGTAAATAAGTTCTAATAATAACCACAGCAGTCCTACACGGGACCAAAACCCACAACAATGTAGCCTTTGCTTAAAATAGACTCCTTTTTGGGACAATACTATGTCCGTTATAAGAGACTCAGGACGCTTAAGAAAAAAACGGAATAGAGGATTTCTTCGAACAATAACCTCTGCACACCCGGAGCAGGGCAAAGCCATCTGGAACTCGAACTTAAAAAAAATTCCGCAAGAATAAGAAATCGAGTGATCGTGGCATTCAAATATCAAGTCTCAAAGGGGCCTTTCGAATTTTTTCGACCCCTTAACCCATATAGACATCCTTAAATCTGAAAAACGCGTGTGCGCTCCTCCCTTCCCCAGTAAAATCTACAAAAAAGCGCGCGAGACTGCCACGCGCATGCTGTAGGCTCCTCCCCTTAAGGGGGTGGGTAGGAGAAAGGGGAGGATGAAGTATTCTGGTTTACCCTATGCTATTTTTTTTTTACTTCAATCGTACAACAGAGCGAAAAAAAAATTTTTTTTTTATAAGCGTAGTAAAAGAGGAAAAAAAAATTTTTTTTTTTCCTTCAGAGTTTAGCTTTGAAGCTACTACACACGTCAAACCCGGAAGCGTTCTAGACTGGAAGTTTTTGGGGTATCCCCCATGACGTCATAGTGACGTGGCGTGACTTAGTTTGTTTACATTTTTTTTCTTTCATTTGCTTCTACTGAATGAGGAGTCTAAACAAGTTGAGATGGCTAAAGAGAACTGTGTAATTGATGTGATTGTCTATCATAATATCTGAATGAATGGTAACCGCAAATAATGATTCTATAGCTCCCTTAAACTGTTACGAATATGGTATGTATGTTCCTAATATGATACATAAGATTTAAACGTTGCATGATCTAAACTAAGATTCTACGCGTTTAAATAAGTTGAGTTTATTATTAATAAATAAGCTTTTTAAAATTAGAAACAAACAATGGAATGTATGTTTTAAAACATATTGTAGANTTGCTTCTACTGAATGAGGAGTCTAAACAAGTTGAGATGGCTAAAGAGAACTGTGTAATTGATGTGATTGTCTATCATAATATCTGAATGAATGGTAACCGCAAATAATGATTCTATAGCTCCCTTAAACTGTTACGAATATGGTATGTATGTTCCTAATATGATACATAAGATTTAAACGTTGCATGATCTAAACTAAGATTCTACGCGTTTAAATAAGTTGAGTTTATTATTAATAAATAGGCTATTTAAAATTGGAAACAAAAATATTAACAATGGAATGCATGTTTTAAAAAATATTGTAGAACTGGTACGGAAAATAGCTCAAATTTTGCAATCGAAATACTGCATATTAGTTAACCACGTTGCGATTCTTATGTTTAAACAAATGACAGAAAGAGAAAAAATACAATTTTTAATAAATTTTGAACTTGTAGGCTAATTGCAAACAGATGACGTGATAAATATCTTGCTGAATTAGCAACGGTTCTAGTAGAAAAATAAACTAATTGCTTGCAGTATTGAAAATCACTGTAATTGACGATTAGATCATTTGCTTTTAAACTAGACAATCACTCTAATCGATGACTATGTTGATTGTTAGCAGAACTTGCAATTACTCTGAAAGAAGAGTGCAAAATTCACAGACTGAGGGCCGAATTAACAATTAATATCATTCACTTTAAGATTAACCTACATTTTTTTCTTTGCAGTCTACACTGTAAAAAATTCCGGCTCAAATTACGGTATAAAATACAGACACTTTGGGTGCTTAATCCATAAAATCCATTTTACCCTAAAATCTATTTTTACTTAAAATATTATAGAATCATTTTTACAGTAATATTTATTAAATTGGAGTGATTCAATGATTTTACGGTAATTATTATTGTAAAATTTGCGGTTTTCAGACTTTTTGTTCCGTAATATGTTCTTAAAAATGGATTCTACCGTAAAAAGTACCGGCATCCTAAATGCCCGTACTTTTCACCTTAATTAAATCTGGAATTTTTTACTGCATACTTTATTATTTATCTTGGTAATAAATTTTTTAATGGTCGACTAATTGAGTACAAGAATAGTAAAAATATATAATAAATTTATTATCTTTTGCATATCTTTAAAACATCCTGAAAATTTGATTTATTTTTATATAGTACCAGTGTATGGAAAAACATCTGCGTACTCTATAATAATAGTAAAGGCAGTCATTATGGAACACCAGGTATCATTTTCAAAATTGAGGATTATTTTCAAGTATATTAATAATGGGTATCATTTCCCCCCATTTATCTTATTCAATTCCAGTTACTGAATGCTACCCAATTGCAATCTACTTTTCGATTGGAAGTCAACCAAGTTGTTGAATTTTTTTTAAAAACTCCTATGATGTACAGCCTATTGACTTAATGACTTTGAGCCAATAAATATTAACTTCCATTTACTTTTAATTCTGAACCAGTTTTTTATAACAATTAAAGTTTTAAATCAAAGTGATAAAATATATTTAGCTTTAGATGAGAATTTGAAAAAAAAACTAACTAGCATTTTGGCCAGTTCGATGGGAATGAAACTCTAACCTTAACTTCAAAAATCTTTGAAGTTACGAATTAGTAATGGAAATATTTGTTTCGCCAAAATGATAATGTACATAAAAATTGAAGTTACGATTTACGAATTTGAAGTTACGATTTACGATTCACGAATTTGAAAGTTACGAATTTGAAGTCATGATTTATTAATGGAAATATTTGGTTCGTCAAAATGAAATTGTACATAAAAATCTCATCTTCAATGCAAAGAATTTCAGGGGATGCTCTAAAAATCATCTAATTAATGTGAGAATGTAACTCTTACATACTAAGTTTTAGAAGAGAAAAGAAATTAGAAAATTTTGAAAAGCAAAAATTAGTTACAATTACTCAGTATCTAAAACAGAATGTGCTGCGCAAAAAAAAAAAAAAAAAAAAAAAAAAAAAAAAAAAAAAAAAATCGGACAACCCTGAATAATTTCTAATCTAACCGTCAGATCTTCACGTTCTAGAGCTCTATCTTAATCGTTCAAAGGGCGAAATCTCAAATATGCTAATTAATTAGTACAGACAATATTTCAAGTTACGAAACAAAACAACAGACCCAAAAATGTACTTTCTCTGAATAAACATAAGTCCTTTTAAACGGATTCGGATTTCTGACCCCAAAATTATAGGGGGTAGCCGTAATCTGGGAAATACGGTCTTTTCGGTCAGGAGAGTGATCCAAAGTTTGGACCCCATAGTGTTAATTTTATTTTTTGCATATTTCACCATGTATCAAGAACTTTTTAAACTATTTTTACAGACAATTGTAAAATTTGTTTATCCTAAGATAATTCGTACAAAAAAATAAATTTTAGTAAATATTCATTATTTTATTTAATAATAGTCGAAATTTTTTTTAATGTAAGGTGTACTACTTTTTACATTATTTTGAAGTATGTAATTTTACATGTCAAAATGCAAAATTTGTGCCAAATCGGCCGAATAGTTCGTGAGAAATAGACTTTCAAAAATACGGCTACTTTAAGATTCAATTCCCTGGAACTATTTGACCTATTTCGTATATATGTTAAATTGTTCCAGAGATTTTTAGAAGTTGCAAAATCCTTTACAAGTTATTAAATAATGCAAAAGTAACAGAAAGTATTACGAAATTAATAAATAATCTAAGCATTTTTGAAATTTTACGAGCTATGGTTACATTCAAAATTCTTTTTTTTATATTTATGGTAAAATTATCAGAAATTTTTTTTGAAAAAATTATAAAAAATAATCGGTTTTAAATGTGGAAAAAAACAATTAACACTTCATTGCCATTATGGACTGCACTGTAAAAAAATTCTGGATCAAATTACTGTAAAAAGAACTGGTATCCTGAGTGCTTCATCTGTAAATAAATTTTACTATAAAATGCAGTTTAACTGTAAAATTTTATACCGTAATTTTTACAGTAATACTTATTTAATTAAGGTGATTCAGTAATTTCACAGTAATTATTATTGTAAAAATTACTTTATTTCAGACTTTTTATTCCATGCAATTTTACGATATAATAAACTGGCGTCCTGAGTGCCAGTACTTTTTTTTTTTATCGTAATTTGATCCTGAACTCTTTACTGCGTACTCGTACTGCGAAGAAGAACAGAACTTAGTTATGCTTTGTATGAAATTCAGAAAATTACCTTTTTTTTTTCTTTTTGAAATAAAAGATGATCTACATATATGTAAATGTATTTTTTTAAAAAGGTTTTAGTTGATTCCAAAAGTTTTAATATCAAACAATAGCTTAATGCAAAAAAGTTTAGTGACATTGCTTGATAAAAAAATTATCAGCTAAATTTAACCTCGAGAACAATTCAATTTTAACTTCGAAAATATCAAAATAGATTTAGTTTCTTTAAACCAATGTCATATCATTTCAATAAAAGTTAAATAGTAAAACAAGAAAGTTAGTGCATTTTTTAAGTGTTAGTCTACTCTGTCTTGGAGGAAATCAGATACACACAAATATATACAGCCTATTGACTTAATGACTTTGAGGCAATAAATATTAACTTCCATTTACTTTTAATTCTGAACCAGTTTTTGATCGTTCTGAACCATTTACTTTTAATTCTGAACCAGCAATTAAAGTTCTAAATCAAAGTGGTAAAATATATTTAGCTTTAATGAGAANTATATGCTATATATATAACGCTAAAATTTTATTGTTTTTGCTTTGTATTTTTCAGTCTTTTGTCTTTTTTTTATTGATTTATTCAAGAATCTCCAAATGCCAGAGAGTTGAAAATTAAATGTATTTTTCTATGAATTTAGATTTTAAATTGTTGAAGAAACTGATTTTAAATTAAAACTAATGCATTCCCTTCAGTTTAAATCTTTACAGGTTTCATTAAAAGTCGGTTTAGAAAAAAAAAATCATATTTTAACGCTAAGTGAAGCGCAAGATTGCTTTATCACCTGAAACTGACATATTCCCTTTTCACTGATAGAAGCGCCATCTAACATCTAAATGTTGATTTAAGTTTGATCCCTATCTTATTTTCTCCTGTGCCTTTTTTTTCCCTTCTGTTTTTTATTTTTTTGATAGTCTATTAATAACGTGGTATGATATGAAATTGCAAATTTAAGCTATAACTATAATTCGCTAGATTAAAAAAAGCATTAAATATTTTTAGTTGATTGGAAAGCTTATTTAATCATTTTCTCTTTTTAAGTAAATCGACTTAAAATAATATTTAGAATAATAATAAAAAGAATTTTCTTTTAAAATAATGATAACAATCATATTTTTGTTTATTCTTTAAATATCATAATGCATAAAAAATGTATTTTTTTTTAAAAAGAAGAAAAAAAAAAGAATTAATAATAAATAATTTTTTTTCATTAATTTCATTCAAATTTTTTAAAGGAAACATCTTTTTTTACTTCTGATTCCTTAAAATTTAGAAGTCTTTAATGCTAATTTATTTTTGAAAAAAAAATCTCTCCCTTAAAAAAACGTAATTCAAAACTTTAACGTAGTTGAAAACCGTGAAACAAAATGAAATATTTCGTCAAAAGAGATCATGAGTTCATAGTTTGAATAAAAGAATAATAAATTTTATTACATTTATATTGAATTATTGAATTGTACCTGAAAGTAATTTTGATTTCAAGCATTCCATAAATGAATAACCTGGTGGAAGAATTTAGTGAAGTAAAAGCATAGTGAAGTGAAGACGAATTTAGTGAAATATGTTAAAATGTGTTGGGACATTTGGAAGCTGTTTCTAATACATCTTATGAATCGACTTTAATTCCGATTCTTAGAACACAGAGATTATAATCATTATACAGGTACATAATCCAATATTTTCTCAATCGATCACTAGTGGCACACTGGTCACGAGTTGCCGAACACCGTAGATTGTTCACCGGTGCCCCTTTCATTTATATATTTTTTTTCTGAAGCTCTTATTACAAGCAAAAACATATATTAATATTTTTTAATTGTAAAAAATAGTCTAATAACTAAAACAACCTGTTAGATTATCGGAATTATATTTGCTCTAAAATATAAAATCCCAAAAAAGTCGTTTGAAGATTTTTTTCATTCATACTCA